GATCTATTTTAAAGTTCTTGGTGGAAATTGCTTGTCTGAGATGATGCTTTGCTAGACTAGGGATGATATAATCTGATTTCCTTGCTCTGGTCAATACCAGTGAGTTGGTGGGAACTTATGTGAAACTGTAGCTGAGTAACTGCTGCCTTCTTGAGGGAATGGGAATCTGTGAATGGAACTGTCTCCTTATTTTAAAAAATGTATCGTCTAACCAGGAGAGATTGTTTTTAGCTAAGGGATTCTCTATACAGGAAATCAGTTTCCTAAAAACAACAGAATGGCAAACTCTCTTAATAAGGTTCAGATAACTAGAATCTGGTGTTTAATGCTGACAGTAATCTGGACAAGCATGTCTTGCCTCTGATGTCTCCTTTTTCCTCTTCTGTGTTCTTCCCCTTGTCTCCTTCTATCTCTGTCTTTGTAAACTGTTTTCTTGGATTGTTGATGACTCTTAATGATTTACCTCTAACTTAATTAACCAGACAGTTCCTTTGATCAGTGTGTCTCTGTACCCCTACAACTCAGCATATACCTCAGTTTCTTTCTTGCTTTAAAGCTTCTGAGATCTCCATGAATGTTTTAAGTCGATAGATGTTAACGACTACAGTATCTCTAAATTCTTAGACACTTCAATCCAATAGCCATAACAATTTACTGTACAATACATTACCCTACACTGTACTGTTCAACAGTACTGTTAACTCACCCTAATCTCCACTTCTCATAAACCCTCAGCATCAGTCAGCGCTCGGTATTGGTTTCTCCTCTGGAGCTCCTACTGTACCTCGCCTGTTGTTCTCATTGCCTTACTAATTCTGAACCTTTGGGTTTTGGATTTTTGCCTGCATAACGACTACGTCTTTTGCCTAGTGATTTGGATTTTATGCCTAAAGTTTGGAGATCACCGCACAGGGTCCTGAAATACTTTTTAGCAGCTCGTCGTAACAGATAATTGAGGTCTTTCCCTGACATAACTACATTACAGGTTAGTCACAATTTTCAGCAGAAAAGCATGATGCAGAAGATGTAAGAGGATGAAGTAGAGCCTTATGTGACACAGGTTATACAGTAGGTGTCCCTGTATCAGGTCCACTCATAGCCTGCTTTGTCCAGGACTAAAACAGTCCAATTCTTTCAGAGGCTCCCTATGCAGTATGTTTTGTCTCTTTAAATTGTCACCTGCTGAACATTGTGCTGAAGGGAAAAATGGTCCATTTAAGTTCATTTAAACTAGTATTTAAAACCTAAGGAGTTTGTGACAGACTACCCTTTAATTGTAGCTAAATGTTAGGAACCTACACACATAAACTCTCGACTTGACTTGACTGGATCTTTTGCACTGCGTCTGGAGATATATCATTGTATTTAGCTGCTTTAACTCAAATTTGGTCTGTAACTATATGGCTTTCTTAATATTGGAATGTTCTTTTGTGTAGAAAGAGGCGATACACAACGTGTCTCCTAAATAACTCTTCAGTTTACAGAGAAATTCCACCAGAGCTTCACAACATTGTCCAATAATAACCCTTCTTGTGTCTAATTTTTAGTTTAGCAGGATTTGAGCCACAGTATATGAATATAATTATATTGTTATTAATTTCTGTAGATACGCAATTCCATATTATATTCCATATTAATCAAATTCTAAAAATGTCAATAT